GTCAGTCTGAGACAGAGCTAAGAGGGGGTCTGACCCTACAGCCTGAGCTCCTAACTAATCCAGAGGCTCTGACAAGGTCCCTGCCTTGGCCTGGATAACACAGGCAGGGGACAACCCTGGTGAGGGAGCCCAGGCCTGATTCTTCCCACCACATTCTGTTGCCACTCAAAATGGAAATCCCTTAAAATGTCCCTGCTTGGGGAAGGGCTCAGCAAATAAAGGTGAAGCAGTCTGGTCCACCCCCGGCTCCCAAGCGGCCTTGGTCAGCCAGGCCAGAGTGGGTGCTGGCCAGCATGTGATCCTTTGGTCAGGTGCCAAGGAGGACACAGGTCTCAGGTGGCCCATTGGGGCAGCAGACACACAGGGAGGCTTGTGCATGGGGTCTGTGTGTAGTTTTCACCCTGGGGGCCCCGGCTCCTCACCTTCAGCAGGGATCCTTCATCACCCTGGGAGCCCTTGTAGCACTTCTTCTGCTTCCCATTCATGGTGTTGTAGACTCTGGGGGCGTGGGGGCAGAACGTGGCCACAACATGGACCTGCCCACCCACTCCCTCCTCTCCCCTAGAAGGCCCCTGCCACCTCTTATCCCCCATGCAATGCCTGGGCTGAAACCTCATCTCAGAGAATGAAATGACCTCAGGCTGAGGTCACGGAGATTATGTATTGGGGTGTCCGGTTGAGTTAATGTCCCTCTCCCCCACCACAGAACAAGCGGAGTGCCTGGCACCCAATTTGAATAAGCAGATGGAGGTGGAGAACCTCTTAGCACATGCCCCACCCCCTGTACACTCCCTCTCCCCTCCCCTGGCTCACTCTTCCATGTCCTCCCATCAAGCTCTGCTTGATTCCCAGGTGGGGTCGGGCATCTCCCCAGGGTCCCCAAGTCCCTAAGCTCTCCCATCCCAGCCCTGACCCCGCCATGCTGTCAGTCTGGTGAGTGTCTGTGAGGCAGACTGGGAGGCAGGGCCTGGCGCTGCCCTGCTCACTGCTGTAACTCCTGCAGGATCTGTCCCTGTCAGGTGCTCAGGGAGTGTAGAGGAATGACTACGTTTATGAGCCACATCAGCACCTCTCAGTCGCCCCACGTAGGCTTCTGGAGAGCCAGAAGGAACCCTCCGCTGATCTGGAGGCGTGAGCTCAGTTCTTTGGAAACACCCGCTGGGTTCCTCCACCCCACTCAGCTTCTCAGGGACCAGATGAGCAGGGGGAAGGAAAGCAGACAGCTCATGAGAAAACAGGCTCAGCTGGGTCCCATCCAGGCCCCACTCAGAAAGCAGTTCAGGCCAGGCTGACTAAGGGCCCAGGGCAGCTCCTCACCTCACATTGCGGTCCTGACAGGCCACGGCAACATACTTCTGGGTGATGTCAATGTCCATGTCATACAAGGTGGTCTTCTCTGCCACATGGTGGGTACGGACAAAGTGAAGCCCATCCGAGGCCTGGCAGGGCAGGCGGGGCCTTCAGAGGACAACCCTGACAGGCCCCCACCCCAGCCCCCAAGGAGGCCACTCCACTCTACCTGCTGGGCACTGCGAAAGTAGATGCTCTTGTCAGCCCCACAGCTGATCATCTGGATGTCTCTGTTGCCTGGAAGAGGAGGAGGCGGTGCATTAGGCAAGGATGGGCCACCCCTGGGCCTGAATGGGGTCAGGGCTCCTCGCTAGGGAACTCCACTGCAAGGGAACTCTTCTGGGGGTCAGGGAGGGCTCCCCACAGGTGAACTGGGTGCTGAGTACAGGCAGGACTCTGTAAGATGTGAGCTATGTGTTTGAGGAGGTGCAGATGGAACAGTTGCAAGGAAGGCCGCTGCAGAGCAGGGGTAGATAGGGAAACAAAGGCCAGGGACACAGAAGGGGCACCATGTCTAAGACAGGCAGACCACTGGGAGGATCATGCCATCAAGAATAATCGGAACATCCACACACCTCAGGCCAGGCTCTGGGCTCCATGTGCCTCCCTCTTCCTGAATGCTCACTAGCCACTCCATTATACAAATGTGATCCAGGGGCTCAGAGTCACACAGTCCTTGTCCCAGGGCACACAGAGAGTCAGGACGGGGCCAGGACTGAAGCCAGGCATTCTCTGGTTACACACTGCTCTGAACCCAGCTTCTCTGAACCTCCGCGTCCCATCTGTACAATGGGCCTATAACAGCAGCTGCCCCCAAGAAGTTGTATGAAGCCATTGGAACAGTGGCTGCCACCTGGTAAGCACTATGGATGTCCTTTTATTCTTCTTTACAGAATAATAACAGCACAAATACCTCACAGAGCTGTGGTGAGGATGAAAAGACAATATACTTAGAGCCTTGGTCTAACAGATGACAGGACATCTGAGAGAGCTCAGGCCTGACATACAGGTTCAGATGTCACTCAAGCAGGAGTCACTGGCTCACAGAAGGAAGTGAGCCCTGTGTGGCGGAGGGCGTGTAACATGGGAGAGGCCCAAAGAGGGCCTGCAAGTTACGGGTAATGTTCTGCTGCTTAACCTGGGGTGGTGGGGCCAAGCACTTAGCAATGTTAGGATGGTGAATAACCAGAAGAGTCGCTGGCTATAAACAATGGGTCTGTGTGTTCCGGTTCATACCTACTGACTATGAACCTCGATGTGGATGTTCATTGTATTACAGTCAAGTGCAGCTTTAAGCTAGAAATACATTCTGAGAACTGCGTCGTTTGGTGATTTTGTCATCAGGAGAACATCATGGAGAGCACTTCCACACACCTAGATGGTGCAGCCTACCACCCACCTAGGCTGTATGGTTTGGCCTGTTGCTCCTAGGCTACAAGCCTGTACTGCATGTTACTGCACAGAACAACATGAGATAAAACCCAGCCCTGGAAAAATGATGCAATCAAGAGACACGGTAAACACGAGAGGTATGAGGCTGCCGCCGGCACAAAACCCTGGACTTTCTATTCTTCTTAGACAAATGGGAACACATGACAACTTGCAGCCTATACTCTTGGTGCCAGGGTAACATGGCATACTCTTTTACAGGAAACTTTGTTTATAAGTAGAAAGAGTACACTTTAAAATAATGATTAAAAATATAGTACAGTAAATACATAAACTAGTAACATAGTCACTTATCATTATCAAGGATTATGTACTGTACATAATTGTATGTGCTACTCTTTTATCTGACTGGCGGCACAGTAGGTTTGTTTACACCAGCATCACCACAAACACGTGACCACTCTGATGTGTGTTGCGCTATGACATTATGACAGCTACAGTGTCACTAGGCTGTATAGTCATTTTCAGCTCCATTATAATTTTATGGGACCACCTTCATATATGCAGCCTGTCATTGACCGAAACATTGTTAGGCGGCAACATGACTGTATTCTGTAAACTAAATGTACTGTATTCACGTGTTTGGATGCATGTTTCACAGAAAGGAGTTGAAAGACTGAATCCTTCTTTAGCAGGGTGGCTTCAGACAGGTTCTGCCTGGCTGGTGTTCAGGTTATACTCCCTCTCAAAGTTTTGAGCATAACCCCCGAGGTGAGCCAGCAGGGCGCTCAGGGGCTGGGATTAGGAGCTGCATCCTCTCAGACTGGCTGGGGCTCTAAGGAAGGCCCACACCCGTCAGAAAGTGGCCTTAAGGACCAACTCCTGGGCCACCCCTGGGCCAGTCATCAACTCTCTGGGATGTAAACCATTCATTAAAGGTGAGGTCCTTGCTGGCCAAATTGCCAGATTTACTGAGTTACTCTAAGGACCTCTAGTCCATGTCTGAGAAGTTTTAGCTGATCAGTTTTTCCTAGGTTTTCACCAAGATGCACCAAACACTGTTAACTTGTTTGTGCACAGCTCCTTATCACTGTAGCTAGAGAGAGGCAGGGCAAGAAGTGGGAAGGACTGAGGGACATTAATAGATTCTCAGTCACAAGATTACATGTAAAAAACACTTCATAGTCAAGAACTTAAGAGTACCTGAATGTATTCTTTCCATGAATATATTCTTCTTAAATATAGTTTTGAACATGTTCTTGGGCTCCGATCAGTTACACCCCACAAGGCCTGCCTCCCTTAGAGCCAGCGATCTCCATACTGAATCTTTTCAGTCTTGGAGGAATCCCTTTGATTTCCTGGTTGAGCGTGGGCTTTGGAGGACAGCCTCAGGCAAGATCCTTGGCCTACACCTACTAGTAGCTGGTGACTGGCTGGAAAATGGAGTAAGAAAGGAGCAACCGCCGGGATGGTGCAAGGATCATTCCCAGCACAGAATTAGCCTCCAGCAGCTGTCACCTGTTTTTCTGCCAAGGTCACCAGTGCCCATTCTGCCCTCTCACAGGATTGGCACGCTGACTTCTTTTTGGGGACCAGCACTCGCCTAATGCCAGTCCTCCTGGATCAGGAGTGGAAGTAGGCGGGGGCTGGGCACATGAGTCAGACCTAGCCCAAGAGAACACCCCAAAGCCCTGGCACTGACAACTGTTCTGAAAAGGACAGGTGCCTCAAGCCAGCGAAAGGAAAGTCAGTGCTATGAGAAGCTCCCAATTTCTGTCAAAATGCATAGGAAGAGGGGACGTCTCTTACTAGTGGCCCAGTGACATGAGATCCTGCCCTCCAGAGAAAGACACAGCTGACAGAGGGAGAGAATCCTGATAATTTAATTTTTAAAAACTCAGCCTTTGGATCCAGCTGTGCCTGAATGCAGAGCTTGTATTCCCTTTTTTGTGTTTAAGCTAAAGGGAGCTTTTGCAGTTACTTGTAGCCAACGGAGCCCATCTAATGAGGTGCCAAAGCAGGAAGGAAGACACTCACCTGCAAACTTGATGGCCGTGATGGAAGAGGAGTGGTCGTCCAGGGTCTGCTCCAGGTTGTAGTTCTTCTCCACGTTCAGTACATGGATCAGTCGGTCCCGACTGGCCGAGGCGAGCAAGGTCAACCCTGTGAGTGCAGAGGGTGGCCCTGGGTTCCCGGAAGGATGCTTGATGCCTTAGCCTCCCAGAAAGCAGCATGACCGAGCTTTCCAGGCTTTGAAGAAGGGGTCTTTGGTTCCATAACTGCCACTGACTTGCCCTAAACCCAGAAGGGGGCCGCTCCCTCAGCTCTGTGTTGTCTTTCTCCAGAGCCTCCAAACCCTGGCATTTCATATCCCATGCCACCAGTTGGGGGAGGGTGAATCTTTGTGTACACGTGCATGCTCCTCCACCCGTGCCCATAGCAGACATTCTAGTAGAGCCCAGCACTCCTTCCTATCGAGTCCACCTCCTTGGCATGCCATGTGGAGCCCGACCAATTTCTCAGCCTCCCGAAAACTCTGCCCCTTCACTCTCTGGGCCCTTGTCCAGGCCCTACTGACTACCTACCTACTGCCACACTTCCTTCTGCCACATGGCTTCCCTGCTGGCCCCCTCAGACAGTGCCTACCCTGGTCACTTGGTACGTCTGAGGCCTAACATATGACCTGAGGTGGAGGGGAGCTCAGGAAAGGTGGACTGAGTGAAGAGAGATTTAATAAAACTTTGGTGGCACAGAGGTGCAGGGGAAGGCGAAGGAAAGAGCATGGGAAGGATCATTAGCATATGAGGACATAACTCTGCCTACATTATATTCCTGCCAAGAGTGTATTATTGGAATCAAATTATGAGGAAAACAAACAGACAAATTCAAATCAAAGGAAATTCAAATAAAATGATTGGTCTATACTCTGCAGAAAGCCAAAGTCATAAAGACAAGTTAAATCTGTAGAAATGTTCCAGAACAAAGGTGACAAAAGAGCCATGACAACTAACGTGTGAACCTGGACTGGGAAAACAAAGGTGCTATAAAGGACAATAATTGGGACAACTGGCAAAATGTGAATAAGGACCATAAGATAGATGACAATATGACATCAAAGTGAAATTTCCACATTTGCTGAATACTGTGGTCATATAAATGGATGACCTAATTCCTAGGAAATGCTTATAGAAGCATTTATGGGTGAATGGGCACCATGGCTGCAATTTACTCTCATTAGTTTAACAAAAGAAAAAAAATAATGTATACGCTATTATCTTATATGTGGTTTGTCTGTGCACACACAAACAGAGAGAAAAGAAGAGAGGGGAAATAGATGAAGTCATTATACAGTCACAGGGTCAGACAGAATTTAAAAGAAAAAACTTGGGGAATCTAGGTGAAGAACATATGGGTATTCATTATAACATTCTTGCAATTTTTCTGTAGGCCATCAAAGTTTTTCAAAATAACACGTTTAACTGTGGATCTATCTTCTCCAGGAAAGGATGAGCTCATTCATACATTCACTCATCACCTCCATAGCCTGAGTACTGTTTGGGGAACTGGGCACCAGGATAAGCAAGTCAAGTTGAGTCCTGCTTGCCAGTATCTTGCTTTCTGGAGTCCTAGTCACTCTGGTCCCAGGTCCCAGAGACAGGGGCCCTTACTCAACACAGGACTTTCAGCCATTATTCACAGCCCCATCACATACCAACTATCTCCCTCTGTGACTTTGCCCGAGGGACACACCCCTGCCTTCCCCCTGCCACCTTGCCATGGGCTCACCTGTCTCAGGCTTGGAGTACTCTAGGCATAGCACCTCAGCATCGTGGGCCTCCATCTTGACCAGCTCATCCATGAAGTGCAGCTCATGGATCCTGGGAGACATAAACTGCCTGCTGTTCTCTGCTCAGAGGGCCCCCCCCGACCCCTGCTCCCACCCCAGGCACTCTGCTACTGCCAGGTAGGGGACATGGGGAGCCTCCTGCCTTGGCCAACTAGTCTAGAGATGCCCACCCACTCTTATCATCTAGACACCTGCCATCTTAAAGGAATCAGTGTCAAACCTCAGGGTACTTCAGTGAGTACCCACCCCTGTGGTTCCATTGGCCAGATCTAGGACACTCCTCTGGGGGAACAAGGGTTAGGGCAGTGCTGTATCAGAGGTGATTCCAGGGGGTGGGGCAGGGGTCAGAGGTCACACTCAAGGCTAGGACCTATGGGTGGGAACTCCAATCTCTCATTCTTAAAGAGTCGTAAATCTAAAGGCTTCCCTTGTCCTCTCCAAATGAAATCAATCAATCAACAGGTCATCCAGGTTGAAATAAGAGACAATCACCCCAGTTCCTCTACTCTCTACCTGTGTGATCTTAGCCTAGCCACTTGGCCGGACTTGCCTCAGTTAACCCATCAGAAAATGAAGCTGATAATAGCACTTACATCAGGTCAGTGAGAGGACTAAATTGGTCGATACACATAGTATCAGGCCAGCGGCCAGCCCAGGGAAAGAGTGCTATGCTCATGTAGCTCTCGTTACCGTTTTCGCCATTCACAGCGGGGCGCCGTCAATACGAGCTGCCCACTGGCACATTTGGTTTGCCTCACACAGTGATTGATATCAGAACAGTTGCCAGCATTTAAAAATCATAAAGTTTCACAGATAAAAAACCTTGCACTTTCTGTTCTTCTTAGACAATGGGAACACATGACATCTCTGAGCCTATACTCCTGATGCTGTGTGGCGGCTGCCCCTTTATGGGGGACATGCTATCCTGTTCCCCCTGGTCCCTTCCATCCCTCAACAGCCCCAGCACCCAGGTGGTCACAGCCGTCATTCATCAACTTAAACCTGGTACCTGTGACAGGCTAATATTCAATCAGCACACATTGGGCCATAACATCTTGAAAAGCCTCTGCAGTGTGAATCGAGCCCTCAAATGTCCCATCCTCCTGGCCCTTCTCCCAGGGCCACCAGGACCCCCACCCGCCGTCCCTGCAAGGGGCAGCTGGCATCTTCTCTGATGGTTCAGCAGTGGTACCACATGGCTAGTAAAGTATCACTCTGTCCTAGTGTCATGCAGATTTGCTGGTCTACTCTGTAGGCCAGCAGTTCTCAACCTGTGGGTC